TAGTGAGAAAAAAAAGTCAGAAGAGGACATTAACAATGATATCCAGGCCAGTAGAAAGTTCAAGGATCAGATTACTCACCACCAACACAACGGTTCAAGAGGTTAGCTATGATGATGAGACATCTTTTTTTGTTTGTTTCAACTTTTTGAAACATCTACAAATCTTGATGTAGAGACCTCACCAAAAACTTTATACATAGATGGAAAATAGGCATATGAAAAGACACTCTGCATAGCGTGTCATCAGGGAAACGCAGATTAAAACAACGAGATACCACTACACACCTATTAGAAACAGCCAAAGCACACAATACTGACAATATCAAATGCTGGCAAGCATGTGGGGCAACAGGAACTCTCCTTCATTATTGGTGGGAATGCAAAATAATAATTTAGTGGTTTCCTATAAAATTAAACAAACCCTTACCATATAATCTAGCAGTCACACTTCATGATATTTACTCAAAGTAGCTGAAAACTTATGTCCACACAAAAAGCTACACATTCATGTTTAGCAGCTTATTCATAATTGCCAGAACTGGAAAGCAGCCAAGCTGTCCTTTAGTGGGTAAACGGATATATGAGCTGTGGTACACCCAGACAGCACTAAAAAACAAATAATCTATCTAGCCATTAAAAAGACATGGAAGAGTCTTAAATAAATATTACTGAGTGAAAGAAGCCAGTCTAAAAGGGCTACATACTGTATTATGAATGAGACAGTAAGAAGATAAGTGGTTGCCATAGGTTGGTGGGAGGAAAGGATGAATAGGCAGGGCACAGATTTTGTGGCGGTGAAAATAGTCTGTATGATGCTACAGTGATGGGTACATGTCATCATAAGTTTGTCCAAATCCATAGAATGTACAAACCAAGAGTGATCCCTAATGTAAACTATGGACTTCGGGTGAATATGGTGTGTCAATGCAGATCCATCAGTTGTAACCTATGTATCATTCCGATGAGGATGTTGATAGTGAGGAAAGCTATGAACATCAGAGGTAGGAGGATACATGGGAAATCTCCATATTATCTCTTAATTTTGTTGTGAATCTAAAACTGTTCTAAAATAAAGCAATATTAACAAAAATCTTTATTTAAATAAATTATGTATGTTACATGTTTCAAGATCATGAAATAAAAAAAAGACACATATCTCTGTATTGAAAGAGAGAAAGCAATATTCAATGCTCCAGCTGAGCCACACTGGCAAGGGCTATCAAACGCTAAAATTATTGTTTTATATGTATATATATTTTTTTCAATTATAATTTACATTGAATATTTTTCTGTATCAGTGTCATATGTACAGCAATGTGGTTAGAAAATCATGTACTTCACAGAGTGGTCCTCCTGCTGCTTCAAGTACTTACCTGGCCCCATACATATTTGTCACAATATTACTGACTATATTTCCTATGCTGTAATCTACATCTCGGTGACTGTTCTGTAACTACCAATTTGTGCTGCTGGATCCCTTGACCTTTTCCACCCAACCTCCCTATCTCTCTCCCCTCTGACAACAGTCAGTCTGTTCTCTGTATCTATGAGTTTGTTTCTTTTTTGTTTGTCTATTTATTTTGTTCATTAGAAATCTTAATGGTAAAATCATATGCATTGTTGTACCAGAAACTTAAGGGTTGTTGATGGCACTAAGAGGCAGGGAATGACTTCCTTAGAGTCTTAAAATCATATCATTTATATAATCATACAAAATACATATATGAACTCTGACCTTACTATGCTGTTTATCAGCCAAAATGCCTGGTTAGTCATTCCCAATATTTTACTCCTTTATTTTCTTTTAAACTCATACATTCAAAATGTCCCTGCCCCTGATACTAAGGGGAAAAGATACCTCCTTTTAAACCCCTGGAAAATTCTCTAAAAACAGTTTCAAAGGTTTACACTGACAAAAATCATCAGAAAGTGATGGGATTGGCTGTTTACCTGACCTGAATTCTAACCCTTATATAATACTAATTGGAATAAAGGCATTAAAGAATGGCTAATTTGTAGATATATGATCTCGAAGTCCAGGGAGCTTGCAGATATTAAAATCTGAATATTGTTTGTGGTTAATGGAAGATAGGAAGGGTTGACTACTTGCTTGATTTGCAGCTTCAAAAGTACCCTGTCTTGGTAAACCCTGGTGGTCCTCTTAAGAAGGGCCAGGGTCTAATTGTCAAATTGTTCAATGACCTCCTGACTTGTCATTTTCCTGATTTTTCTTTCCCAATAATCTAATTCTTTAATTTTATGAGCTATGATGCTTTGGAGTTTATGTGTCTCCCTTGTCCTGAATATACTGCAATAACAACAAGGGTCTCTCATCTAATCAGAGTGTAATTCAAAAATGTTACTGACGCCGAAACCGGTTTGGCTCAGTGGATGGATCGTCGGCCTGCGGACTGAAAGGTCCCAGGTTCGGTTCCGGTCGGGGGCATGTGCCTGGGTTGCGGGCACATCCCCAGTGGGGGATGTGCGGGAGGCAGCTGATCGATGTTTCTCTCTCATCGATATTTCTAGCTCTCTGTCTCTCTCCCTTCCTCTCTGTAAAGGATCAATAAAATATATTTAAAAAAATGTTACTGACATCAGATACCTACTATGTGCTAGGTATTGTTCTTAGCACTTTTCAAATATTAACTTAATCATCATAACAAAAGAATGAGATTGGTACTGTTATGTTCACTACAAATGGTACAACTGAGGCAAAGAGAGGTTAAATAATTTTTCCAAGGTTACATACCTAGAAAGCACCAAAACCAAGATTTATACTCAGATAATTTGACTCTTAAAGATGGAAAATTACTAACACACTATGCTAAGTCTTTGCTAAAACAGGGGAAAGAAGTCCTCAAGGAAGCAGTAGAGAGAAGCCTTGAGAGGGGAGCCTCCTAGGACTGGACCAGGAGACCTGACCAAAGCTTTCAGCTTTTTGGGGGGAGTTCTAACTTTAACCCCAGATGGCAACATAGAATGCTGTTCCATGCCTAAAGCACTGCCCAACAATGACCAGAATTAAACATTTTTGAGTTGCACTTAGTATAGCTAAGGCAGGCAAACATTTTAAACATGTCCTACCGAATAAAGATGGAATATGCCAATTGATCATAACTTCGTGACAAAGATGGCATTGCCCACAGCCAATAAGGAGGGATTATGTAAATTGATGCAACAAGGTGAGAGGCAGAAAGGCGGCTCTGGCCAGAACAAAGGTGGAAAGGTGGCTCCAGGCTGCAGTGAAGGCGGAAAGATAGCTCTGGGCAAGAGCAAAGGCGGTGCCAGCAGCCAAGGGAAGGAAGGCCTATTCTTGCACGAATCTTCGTGCATCAGGCCTCTAGTAATTTATAATATCAAGCATAAAAAAAAGATTTTTTTTTAAATGAAAGAAAACATAAAACATTAAGCTGGTAAATACACATATCTGAATCAATAATGACTGACTGACTAGTTTGCCAGGTTCATAGACCTTGTTGCATCCCTATTTATTTCCTTAATTAGTCTCTTGCTCCAAAGAACCATAAGTCTTGCAAATTACCTATGTTGCTACCTCATGAAGGGTTATAATAATAAGACCCAATATATTCCTTCAACTTGTCAGCTGTATATGTATGATCTAAGAAAAAAAAGGGAGGATATTCCCTTCTATCACTCACATGAGAAGCTCCCTTCACTTTCTGATATAGGATTTGAGAGATATTTGCCTGGTAGTACTGTAGTTATTTCAAACTCCACCATCTACCTAAGCTGGTGTATGTTATCCACAATATAATATAATGATATACACCAACTGTGCAAGAAGGATTGCCTGTGTATAGTAATAGCAAGCTCTTCCTGTTTAAAACTATTTCCAAATCACTTGAGAAATTATATTTAGAATTTTCCTTTTCCCATTTATAAACTTAAAATATTTTATTAGGGGAAAAAAATTTCAAGGTAGTAATTTCCCAAGCTACAAATTTCTGAATAAGGTAGTGTCTCAGCATTTGCAAAAAAGTAAGAATTACATCTATTAATGAATGTGTTGCATTTTTATTAAATGTGTTCATAAAGATATTTTATATGAAAGTCTGTAGTAATACAGATAAATCTAACAACTGTATTAGTTTTAAAAAATAGGCCATATCTATTGCCTCTAGGGAATATGTCACATTACATAATTCTCAATATATTTTTGCCTCTAAGAAATTATACAAGATAAGTAATATTTTGGCACCAATTCATCAAAAAGATGGGCAAATGTCACTATACTATCTTATTCATGTATTTAAAAAGATTTTTATAACTATCTAAGACGTGACATTTTACTTTTGCATAACCTAGCAATGCATTAATATATTCATTTTTATTTTTATAATGTACAGATATTTCACAATACTTGAATAACAAGTACAAATAATTTAAAATTCTTAGTGCATGCATTAAAATGACCTTAACATTTAGATTTAAATCTACTTGTTCCAACCCCAAAATTGGAGAAAGAGTGAGAGATGAAATGTAAACAAACTCAGAAATATCTTCCTTTAAAGAAAAATGTCAAAGAAAACTCAAAACGTTTCCACATAACAATAGCACAATGGCTCTTCGCCCCTGGGGAAGTTTCTTCACATGGAAAACTACTTGATTGCCCTAACTTGAACTGCCTAAAAAAATGGTCAAGGGTGGAAGCAAAGAAGAGAAGTTTTGCTTATAAATTCTTAGGCAGGCTTAAACTACTTTAATTTCCTAAGGACTGATTATGGTTAAGGAAAATTTACAGGTCTCCAAACCAGTGTTTGGTATTTGCATGTGAAGGATAAATGTGAATTTTGAGGAGTAAACACGTTCTTTCAAGGAGCTAAAAACTGCTGATAATAAAGAACTTTTTCCTTGACTGTTACCAAAGATAATTAGCATTGATGGTACAGGATTTTGTATATCTACATTTTAAAAATATTAGAATAGAGGCCAAAAGGGTCTGAAATAGGATTTCCCAATGCAAAATATAGACTTACTGGTACATGCCATGGAAGGTGGGTCTTTTTCAGCTCGGAAGTAACCCTTTTCACACTGACAGACAGAAGTTGCTTCCATGTAGGTTAAACTGTGTGGAGGGCATTTAGAACATTTTGTGTTCCCAGCAAATGCTTTATAGAAGCCTGGCCTGCAAGCTGGAAAAATAGAAAAAATAATTTTTGTTATTATTGCTAGAGTTCTTTTATTTGCATCTGTACAACATATTTTAATTTAAATACACTTTGGATATCAGAGTTCAATGTCACAGATACACAGAAAAGTCAACATATGTTAATATTTATGAATTAAATTAGTTATTCAAAATTAGCAACACAACAGTGACTTTACATTTTACTTTAGGTAGCTAATTTTTAAATGCATACCTGAAACACACACACATAAAACAGCAGTGCTTATCAGTGTGGGGATGTCCATAACCAGCAGGAAAGGAAATCATTTGTGGAGTCCTGAGAGATGGCACTAAATTACATTGAACCACACTGTTAAAAATGTATTTATGTTCCATTTCTTCCTCAGTCCTTCTGAACACTCAGAGTCCCAGGGTGGTGCGTGGGTATCTTTAGTACCTTTCTTAAGGGCTAACATAAAAACCTTTTTTTAACAAAATGAGAGCTGGCCTTTTACTCAGAGACCTTAGCAAGCAAGATCCAGTTATCGTTTTGATAACTATATTGCTTTATTTTTAATCATTTTTATTTATTATGGCAAACAAGTGTTGACCCCGATAAGAATATACCTGCCAAGAAGGGCTCCTTATGGTTAATCAAGCCCAAATTTATAACCAGAGTCTCGCAGCCATTGTTGACAGAGGCCTCTCATGCACACTGTGAAAAGCCACCGAGTAACCTGCCAAGCCTGCTGTCCTGTGCTCCTGCCTTCTGAGTAGACCCTTGTGAGAGAGCTCCTAGGACAAAAATGCTGCCAATAAGATTGAGACTTTCCCCATGCAACCAGAGCTGTGCAGCTATATCCGCATTTGCATTTCACCAACCAATCAGAATGGCTCCATCTGACCAATGAGGATGCTGCTATTTGGACCAAGCAAACCATGAGTATTTGGAGTTCTCATTTGCATAGAAATGGACTAATCAGGGACAAGGGTTGGAAACTGCATCAATCTCCCCTCTAGCTCTTGGAGCACACTTTGTTTCCATTGAAAATTGTGTTTCCCTGGCAGAAGCTGTAACACTGGAGAGGAGCTGTCTCGCTGGGGCAAAGTGGAAGTGTCTTGTCTGAGCAGAGCTGTGGCATGGGAGCGGTGACACTGCAGCCTCCTTGCGTGGGCTGCCTCACCTGGCCTGTCCCAAGCTGTGCTGTTCCATATCCATGCTGTTAAACAACTGAACTGTTTCACAGACACACTGTTTCACAATTGATTTGTTTTGATTGAATAAATTCTCCCAGCTCACCAAACCCCAAGTCTGGGAATCTTGTTGATACTGAATTGGCAGTGATGACTTTTTAGTCACATAACTTTTCTATTTATTATATTGAAATAAATGTACTTTAAAATTTTGAATTAGTTAAAAAGTGAGTAGACAAATATTAAATAAACTAGAGGCCTGTTTCACGAAAATATTCATGCAATAGGCCTTCCTTTCTCCTGGCTGCCTGCACCGGTTTTCCTTCAGCACCGGGGACCCAGGCCTTCGCTCAGGCCAGAGCCGCCTTCAAAGCCTTTGCTGCTCCTGCCGGAGCAACAATCAAAGCCTGCTCCCCCCCACCCCCCCAAAAAAAGCCTTTGTTGATCCATTCATCTACTGATGGGCACTTAGGCTGTTTCCAGATCTTAGCTATGGCCGAAGCCGCTTTGATCGCTGCTCTGGCCGGAGCCACCTTCAGTCTTTGCTCCCCTGCTTCACGCCTACATATGCAAATTAACTGCCATCTTTGTTGGTGGTTAATTTGCATATCTTGCTGATTAGCTAATGAGAAGCTTAGTGAAGGTAAGGTCAATTACCCTGTTTGTCTATTATTAGATAGGATAAGGTATATATGCTATATGCACATGGCAAAAACATAAAAATGGAATGCAAATGACTAAATTTTCACCAAAAATCATGAACATTAACATATAAATGAGTAAGGTTATATGATGAATAGTGTTATTGATTTTTATCTTTGCTTAAATCCATATTATTTTCAGAGTACATTTTTACAGGAATGGAAAACCTAGAAAAAAGGATCCTATGCTAGGTGTACATCCAAAGGTCAAGAACGGTAAAAAAGCTTAGTTATTTCTGGTCTTAGAGAAATCACTGCTGGCCACTTTCTAAATTAAGACTATCATACAAAATTAAAGTAATTTTCCAGGGACATATATTACATTAATAAATGTTTTTAACAAACTAGTTATTTTAGAACTCAACATATTTTCATAAAATGTTCTATTTAAAAATATACAAAAATCCTAATTTAACAATAATAAATATATGGTTAGGGCTTCTGCTTATATATTGAGGACAGAAAAAAATAACTGCCATTAATTTTTTTAAAAAAATATATTTTTATTGATTTCAGAGAGGAAAGGAGAAGGAAAGAGAGATAGAAACATCAATTTCTATTTCCAACACTCCATCCACTGAGCCAAATCAGCAAGGGCAGCCATAACTTTTTTGGAGTAAATTTAATTCTTACCTAAATGAGTCAAAATAAAATAACTATCTTACTGTGGGTACATCTGTTGATGAATATTTGTACAAATCTAAATGAATGCAATCTTATTGATAGTAGAAATACACTATGTACTAGGCATGAACACAAACACACACACACATTATTACTGTGTTATTTTTGAGAGTTTATGTTTGCTTTTATAAAAATACTTCTTGTAAATGATCCAATAATTAAGAAGTAAAATGATCAATTCTGTACAGTAAAATTACTATTAAATGGTTGGTTATGCAGTATCTATTAAGCTGTGAATGGTGGTACTTAAATAACAACACAGTCTCTTCTGTAACTTGATAATAAATTAACTAATACTGTATGGCTAATCAATAAAAACACTATCATCAAAATATTTAGGCAGGAGGTTGTCCCTCTGGCTGAGGCCTCGCCAGCCCTGCAGCGCAGGTGTTGTCTTTGTGCCTGGCCAGGCCTACTCCACTGTGGGTGCAGGTGGGGCAGCCTGTGTGGGCCCAGCACCTTCACCGAGGCCTCAGGGACTGACACTGGTGCCAAAGGTGAGCTTCTCAGCAGCTGGGGTTGGCTTCCCTGCAGTGACCTAGCTGCCGTCACTTAGTGGGAGCCAGCTGCACCTAGCCTCAGCGCAGGCTTGGCAGGGTTAACAGACGGTGGTCTTGGGGTGGGGGAGTGTACAAGGGAGAGGGGTGTGGCAGGGACAGCACAGAACAAGAACAACAAAATAAACCTGCATATGTAAGATTAAATATAGCAAAGGCGGGGGGTGAGGGGGATAGGAGTAAGGGAAGCCTTTTTCCTCCCTTCCCACTCCAGGCTGCTCCCTCTAGAACAGGCATGAAGGACCTAGCGTTCTACTGGCAGCTTTTTTTTTCCTTGCACACTCAAAAAGATTTAAAAAAATAAAAATACAAAAAGAAGTCCTTTCCCCTAGAGAACGGGACAAGGAGCTTCTATCTGCTTGGGAATCATTTTGGGATTTCATGGGAATCTTGTCTTGGAAGGGTCTCCATACTCAAAGTGCCTTTCCCAGGACCAGTAACATCAGCATCTCCTGCTCTAAAAGCAGTCATGGCCTCTCCAGACTCACTGAATCAGAAACTACAATTATAGACAACTCCCAGGGGGCTGCAAGCATAGTCTATTTGAAAAGCTCTAGTCTGCAATACTGGTTCTTAATTCTGGCTGCACATTAGAAACACCTGAAGTTATGGGTTGACAATTTTTTTTTTAAATATAAGAAAAATATATTTCTCAAAATCTGTCAAAATGCAGAGTACATAAATAATATGTAATTACCTCACTAATATTTTCATTAAAAAATTCTTTAGCAAATATTTAATTTGTAAATGTAATCTTATAACAATAGTGACAAGACAATGTATTTCATAAGCTATTCAATAAATCCAGTTTACATATATTTTGTCAGTAATATTATTTTCTACTTAATTATGTGGTTCAAAATAACTAAATATATTTTATAGTATACATTTTTAATACTTTGCCAAATAAAAATATTGAACTTAATTATAAATTTAAATAATATAATCTACTGTAATATTTACTAGAGGCTCAGTGCATGAAATTCATGTATGGGTGGGGTCCCTAGGCCTGGCCAGCGATCAGGGCTGATCAGATTCCCCACCTCCCTGCAGCCTCGCCCCCTCCTTCCCTTGCTGTCCTGCATGCCGCCCCTGCATGGTTCCCCACCTCTTTATCTCCCCCCCTCTTCTCCTTCCCTCACTACCCACATCCGCTGCCACCCACTCCCGGTTCCCCATCCTAGCCTGGGGCCCACCCCAGTTGGGTGATGGGGACCTGCTGGCTGCGGGGAGGGGCCAACCACCACCATGGCGGGCAGGCAGTGGACTAATCAGGGCCTGCCGGCTGGGGGAGGGATGGAGGAGGGATGAGGGAGGGACCCAAGAGTTTGGCCGCCGGTCCCGAGGAGGGAGCTGGCCTCAGCCCACCCTGGGAAAGGGGCTGCGTCCGCCACCACCCACCCCTGGTTCTTTGTCCCAGCCTGGAGGCCTGGCCATGGGGAGGGACTAGGAGGTTGGCTGGCAGACCCCATTGGCGATCAGGGCCTGTGGGCTGGGGGCATCTCCTGCGTTGAGGGTCTGCCCCTTAGTGGTCAGTGCGTATCATAGTGACTGGTCGTTCCAGTTGTTCCATCAAAAATATCGCTTGGTGCCAAAACCGGTTTGGCTCAGTGGATAGAGCATTGGCCTGCGGACTGAAAGGTCCCAGGTTTAATTCCGGTCAAGGGCATGTACCTGGGTTGCGGGCACATCCCCAGTAGGAGATGTGCAGGAGGCAGCTGATCGATGTTTCTCTCTCATCGATGTTTCTAACTCTCTATCTCTCTCCCTTCCTCTCTGTAAAAAAATCAATAAAATATATTAAAAAAAAATATCGCTTGGCTTTTATATAAATAGATAAGCATAATACCCCAATCAATTTAGAGGGAATATGCAAATGTAAAATGGGG